TCCAGGTCTCACTGAATGGCAGCACAGCCTTCCGGTGTGTCTACCACTCCTCCCAGTTTGGTGTCATCAGCAAACTTGCTGAGGGTACATTCTAACTCTTCATCCAGGTCGTTGATGAAGAAGTTAAACAAGACTGGGCCCAGTACTGACCCCTTGGGGACACCACTTGTTACCAGCCTCCAACTAGACTCAGCGCCGCTGATGACAACCCTCTGAGTTCTGCCATTCAGCCAGTTCTCAATCCACTGCACTCAATCTGCACTTGCTAGCTATAGTCTTCACATAATATGCACAGATCAAGTGAAAGGACTTCTGTCTCATTTGGTCTGGTGTACCAATTTCAGGATACATCCTTGTGGAGAGGTGTTTCTCCCAGGGTTGGAAGTCCTTGGTGGGAGAAGGCCAGAATGTTCTACGCAACGTGCAAATCTGTATTAATCTTGTAAGATTTGAGTAATATGTGAGCTCTGCAGAGTGGTGAATGTCTCTTTGTGCACACAAAGTCACTACTCAGAACTGCAAGACCTGAGCAGTGTTATTACAATATTTTTAAGGTACTAAAACTCAAGCAAAACTTCCTGTGTAAGCAACAGAGCCCAGACTGAAATAAAAATTAAATAATGAAGCTCTCAGAACGACCCTTGAAAGCAGTCAATTCATTTTTCATTGCATCAGTTTTTATGAAGCATAGGCATCTGGGCAGCATGGGTAAGCACATGCTTGGGGGATCATTTATGGAGCTGAGGCACTTGCAAGGAAGAACAATTCCCTGTTATTAGCTATGTTTTCATAACCACCTTAGCTATATTTTGACTTTACTGCGTATGAGCTTCCTACCTGTTATAAATAGAAGAATCAAGCTCTTGGAAAAAGAGTAAAGCAAAACTTTCAGCAAACTTTTACTGTTTTTATAATATTTACTACAGAAGGCTCCAAAAATGTTTTAGAAGCTCCAGTTCATAAATCATTCTGAAGTGTTATCAAACAAAAGGAGTTCAGAGCAATGAGGAAGATCCAGAAAGGGAAGAAAATCCCCAAGTGTCCGGGCACATAACTGAAAATAAAGAGGAGCCTGAAGAGTTAACATTTCTCAGCTGAGATGACAAGACTGAGTGTGTGCTTTGGGCCCACCCAGACTGCGAAATACGATGGACATATTTGAACCACCACGAAGGCAGGAAGTCAAGTCCCATAATAAGGTCATTGTACTGTGGCAATGAGCCCAACCATGAGGTTTTGACCCAAGTATTCACACAGCACACACTTCAGCGTGGGATTCTGTCTGAAGAAATCTAAACTTCCGTTTAGGTATCAGAAGATCCTCTCAGTCAGTGACCCAGTCGGCCTACTTTTCAGTACTGACCAACCCACTTGGTGCCTTAATTTGATAGACACTGTCCTGCTTGTCCTGAGCAGTCCCTGGAGCCTCCTGGGTTCAGCGTACCCCTGGTGATGGAGGAGCAGGAGTCCAGGGACAGAGGGGCTATAGCAGCTTGCTGGTTCATATCAGTGGCTTCTTTTCTTGTTGTTGTGGAGATGAAGTAGGTTCTGGCTGCTGTAGGTGCTGTAGGAAGTTCCCTTCCTTGGACACAGCAGGACTTTGGATTTGACGAATGGGTATGCCAGGAGGGAGCAAAGCAACCCTGCCATTGGTACCACAGAAGGGCTGGTCACACGCCAGGGCAGATGTCAGAGGGCAGCACCCCAGCGAGGCTGCTCTGCCACCTAAAACACGTGTTGCCTTCTGCAAACAGAGGTGCTGCCAGCTACCTATCATCCAGATTTCACGTGGCTGCCCTGGGGAGCCCTGGAAAGGAAATTTCCACCCCTGCACCCCTTCCTGACATACCAACTGCTGCACCTCTGTGCTACCCATGGGTTGCTACCCATGTGCATTGTAGCGGCTAAATAGCAGGGATGGGAAGGGAAATTAGTCTTGAATACACCTCTCTGGGCACTTCCCTAGGATAATGTAGACACTACTTGTCATGTTTTCCTCTCCTTGACAAAATTTTCACTAAAAGTGGTTCTTTCTCTTGAACTTTGGGATAAAGCAGAAATTGATCTTTATATAGCTTTGCTCTCCACCCAAATTTTATTTAATGAGACGGAAGGATACATTTCCACATCCATTGGTAATCTGTTCCAACATGTTATTATTTAAAGTACGTCCATTATTAAAATAAACAAATTAATTCAAATTTGTGTTTTCTGGGCTTCCACTTGCAGTAACTGAGTTGTCTATGAATATGAAAGAAGAAAGCTTTTTCTGTCTAAAATGTCTCAAAAGTCTGATTCTCATTGCTAATATATAAAAGCTATTTGCTTTTTGCAATAGCTCTACTCCTTCTTATAAGTTGTAAACCTTGATGGCCCTGCCCTCTTCTGATAAGATGTAAAAAATAAAAGACAAATTGTTAAAAAGCAAAGAAGGAAGAATTATACACAGAATCAGAGATTACAGAAACACAGAACCATAGAAAAACTGCAGTTGGAAGGCACCTCTGGAGATCATCTAGTCCAACATCCGAGCTCAAAGCTGGATGAGCTAGACCAGGCCTTCCAGGATCACGTCCACCTTGGTTTTGAGTATCTCCCAAGGACGCAGACTCCACAACATCTCTGGGTTGACTCTTCCAGTCTTTGATCACTGTACAGTTAAGAATTTTTTTTTCTTACATTTAAACAAAATTCCCTGTATTTAAATTTATGCCCATGGTCTCCTGTCCTGTCATTAGGCACCACAGAGAAAAGTCTTCTCTTCTCCAGGCTGAATAGTCCCGGCTCTCTCAGCCTCTATATGTCAGATGCTCCAGTCCCTGAGTATTCTTCATGGACATCTTCCTTGGACGCACAATTCAGCAGGTACATGTCTCTCCTGTGCTGGGGAGCCAAGACATGGATCCAGCACTCCAGATGTGTCTCACCAGGGCTGAGCAGAGAGAAATGATCACCTCCCTTTTCCTGCTGGAAACACTCTTCCTAATGCAGCTTTCGTCATTTTTCCTACAAAGGCACATTGCTGGCTCATGACCCACGTGTTCTCCACCAGCACCCCTAGGTCCCTCTCTTCAAAGCTGCCTTCCAGCTCTGAGGGTCCCCAGAGTGTACTGGTGCACAGGTTGATTCTTCCCCAGGGGCAGGGCTTGGCTTTTCCCTTTATTGAACCTTCTCAAATCCCTGTCAGCCCATTTCTCCAGCCTGTCGAGGTCCCTCTAAATGGCAGCACAACCAGCTGCTGCATCAACCCCTCCTCCCTGTTTTGTATCCTCTGCAAACTCTGTCCCATTGTCCAGATCATTAATGAAGATATCAAACATTGCTGGCCCCAGCACCGACCCCTGGAGTGCTTCACTAGTGACTGGCCTCCAGCTGGACTACGTGCCTCTTAGCCTGGCAGCTCAGGTCTCAATCCACCTTACCATCCATTTATCTAGTTCCTATCACTGTAGTTTGTCTATGGGACGTTATGGGAGACAGTGTCAAAAGACATTCTACAGTGGAGATAAAAAGCATTGACTGCTCTCCATCCACCAAGGCAGTCATCTTGCTGTAGAAGGCTATCAAGTTGGTCAAGTACAATATCCCACTCATACAAACATGCTGACTGCTCCCAGTCATCTATTTGTCTTGGAAATGGTTTCCAGGATTATTTGCTCCACCACCCTCCCAGGGATCAAGGTGAAGCTGACTGCCCTGTGGTTCCCTATATATAAACTGTGGTTCCCTAAATATAAAGCTGACTGACCTGTGGTTCCCTAGCATATAAAATACTGGGGGGGAGTGGGTTTAAAAAGATTTGTGGGATTTTCTTTTCCTCTCTTTTGACCGTAATTCTTTATAAATATTTCCACGGCTATTTGTCTAATTTTTAATAAAAAAAACCCAAAAAAATAAGATCAGCAGAAACAGCTGTGCCTGAACAAATATTGCTGACATAATCGCTCACCATGAAGAACTGAAAGGAGAGTTGCCTTTGTACTGTGTTAAACATTTTTACTCTGTTGTTACTGGGATTTGTTTAACAAGCAAATAGAAAAAAAACTAACAGTTGGCTCTACAACATAATTTTTTGACAGAACACAGTGATGAATAAAATAATTTCTCGTCCCTCGCAGCTAGTGGTTGATCAATGAAAAATGAAACACAGAAGCAGGAACTGAAGGCGAATAGTGGACATGCCAAGTGCAGTTCAATTGTCTGCAATGCAGGGAAGTTTTTTCAGGTTATTATGAGCCTGATGGCAGCAGAGAACATTCCCCTGTATCAGTGAATGACTGATCCACAAACGCTTCAGCCTTGGAAATCCTAATAGGAGATACTCTAACTCAGAGCTAGATCTTTTAAATGGTAATCTTTTATATTATCTCCCTAGTCAAAAGAAAAGATAAAATGGATCAGACAGGACCAGCTGCAGTGATACTAAACTATGTCCACAGGATGATGTATTTAAAACCAGAGATTTTAAAACTCTTGCAGAAATCCATTTTATTCAGCATTTTCAATTTTTAGTGTTTTACAATAAGTGTGTGCCCTTAGGAGAGTTCTAAAATATTGTGCATTATTCATTGTTTGTCCAGGATAAAACCACTTAGTTTTCCTATTCTGAATAAAGGTTGTTGAGGAGGCACACTGTAATATCAACAAAGGTCCCCTCAGGACAACACATGAATAATGAAACGGAAAGTAAAGTTAGTCACCTTCCTGTCTGCATAAATCTATAAAAAGTACTTCAGTATGATAGATGATGGTGGTGGTGGACTGAATGTTGAACTACATCTCTGCATTCAAACACACAGATGCCTTAAACAAATTATGTATCAAAAGAGAGCCTCTCAATTCTGAAAAAAAACCTGCATCAAAACATATTCAGGGCTTGGGCTGCCTTCTCCCATTATTCTACTGTTTAGAAATCAATAATATCAATAGTTTCTGAAAGGTCAAACAAGATGGTTCATTGGTATGAGTAGTATTTCAATGTTATCTGTTCTGCAGCCTAAACATGTAAGAAAAACAAAGCACTGAAATACCCATTGCATGTAAGCTAAAATGTTACAATGCTGGTTGTGCACACCAGTTGAAAATTAAATTTTAATCTAACATCTTTGTTTATAATTTGACTCTCACTAATAAAACCAAAGGTCCAAGTAGTGCCAGTATCTCCTACGCGACATCTCTGCTTCCTTGAAAAGTATAGCAAACCTAAAAAACATCCTGGGGATTTTGTCTGCACCTAGAAACAGAGTTTCAGGGATTGCAACCAGCCCTGCACCTCCTGAAGCACAGCGTAACCGATACTTGTAATGACGCTATCTATTTCATCACCTTATTGCAAGACAAGACAGAAAACTCAAAGAGTTTAATGCGAAGCAGCAAGATGCTCTCCTCTTTCGAGGTCTGTTACCTTTTTTTCATGCTCCCTGCCGTTTGCTGTCTTTCCTCCATCTGCATTTCATTCCTGTATTATTTTTGAGATGTTTTGTGTGCACTGATAATAACATCTTGTAAGTGAATGAAATGCTGCTTTTCAGAAGCTGACATTTTAGTTACTTTTGCTTTGCTTTTGCCACCACACATAGAAAGGGGCAGGAGAATGACAATGGAGGAATTGGAGAGTAAATAATCTCATTTGTAAAGGTTCACCAAGCAGCACAGCACAAAGGAATTAACAAGATGTTCATGGCAGCTATTTAGCAACTTAATCACTTCTCTAACATGTGGGAGACTCACTGCAAGGGAAAAGGTATATCAAGAAAGGAATTCACTTTTACTAGAGATATTTTTTCCCTTCCTGACAGCACTAACAAAAATAACAGCAGTCCTTGGATTTTATTTCCACTTAATTATGTCTCTTCTACACTCCTGCAGACCACACTTCTAAGGCTGTTTCAAGCATCTTCATGTCAACTACCCTGAGCAAATCTACCATGTACTGCTTGAGAGGCCCTTCGGCACTAAAAATGTGCCACCAGCGTTTGTGGCATCCACCACAAGCCCCTGCTGACCTTGGCCCTAACTCATAATTTCCCCATCACACCCTGAGATGCCATCATACAGCTCCAGGGAGAGGAGCTGCTCCCGCTGCAGCCTCTCAGCATCCACAATGATCTCAGTGGTCCCCGTGTGACAAACCCACGAAACTGAGAAAAAGGAGAGAGGAGAGCTGGGTGCTTCAAACAGCCCCAGGCACTGGACGAAGCACCATCTGTCATTCTGCAACACCAGATGCATAGAATAACCACGGGGTCATGCCACCAGAACTGACACCAGTCACAATTTTAGGGTAAGGAATTTCCCAGTGCTTTGGGAGAATGTCCGAGGGTTATCCGAAGGCTACTTAGGCAAAGGGGAGAGGCAATAAATTTATTTGTTAGGGAAGTGGCACGAGCAGTACAACAAGATGGCAGACACAGCCCGTCAAGCTTTAATGTTTTTATATCAATCAGCAGCAGTTGGTCGCACAGCAAGGAGAGCTCACACACTGTACCCATTTAAAGGGTAGCAGAGCTATGACCACAGCATGACATCCCTAAGGACCTCCAGCA